CCATCTTACCTAGTAACTATTTCGCCTTACTTACAGTCAAATCCAACTATCTGGTAGTACAAAAGAAGCCCAAGAGTTGGCGGTGGGTGCTGCTGACCAGCTGCCTTTTCTTTGAGAGTCCATACTCTAGACTACTAGTTAAAAATTATGGGCAGTTATGTGCAGGTAGATCTTGTGCACTTGCACATAATTATAAAACAAACAAAATTATATTGTTCTGAAGGCTTAGATTTAGATGGGTGCCTGGCAGGTGGTTATATATCGAATCATAAGAAGGCTGGTTGAGTTATTGATATGCTTAGCTTTTTTTTTTCTTTTGAGACTTATTTTACACATTTTCACTTTTCTCCGTGGTCGTTCTTATTGTTCTTGGGGTAGATGTGAAAAATTGATTAATGTTAAGTCGTAATGTTTCATGGGGACTAACGGCGAAGTTTTGCCCGGATATATTTTGTTTTTTAAACAAAGAAAACAAACTGACTGTATTATTCAGCTGAAATATGCGTCAGTATTTCTTTATTGGAATAAAAAATTGACAACACAAAAATATAGGTTACGTTATAAAAAAAAAACCAGAAACACTTAGAAACAACGGAATTTCTCATATTGATTAAGCATAACTAAATATAGAAACATATTCTGCGTTCTAGAATGTTTTCAAACATTTCTGGTAACGCTCTTTAGTAGATATTGTGACCATATGTACATAATTCAAATCTACTGCCTTATTGCATTTCTTTACTTGTGATTATCTTTTGAGATATCCAATTTTTGGGCTTTTTGTATTTCGATTGATGTCGCTTTGTACATAATGTACATGATGTACATAATTCAAATCTACTGCCTTATTGCATTTCTTTACTTGTGATTATCTTTTGAGATATCCAATTTTTGGGCTTTGTGTATTTCGATTGATGTCGCTTTGTAAGTTATTAAGCCACCATTATATATATATATATATATATGATAGCATTATCACTCAAATAAAATTGTTTAAAACTATAAACACGAAAACAATAGTAAAATTAGTTTTATTTGTGAAATTAAGAACAATTAGGTAACAGATATGAGAGTCTTTCATAACTTTGTATTGACGACCTACTCTATAAACTCCCTAGTATTGAGCTGTGTATGTTTTGGAACCAAACAACGGTTAAGTCTTCTTAACTCGTAGTAATTCACCTTCACGGCGAACATTTTAAATAATTGAAAGCCAAATCAATTAATATTTGTTATCTGAATTTATTTTAAAAAAAACAACTAAAAACGATTCCCTATTTCAGCACCGCCCACCATCTGTGCTGCGCTACTAAGCGTTTTTTGGATTCAAATTTGAGGTCAATATCCTCTCGTCTAATACCACTGAGATGTATTATCTATTAGATACCTGGCTTTTGCGTAGCATTGTAGGCTATCTCTATGTATAAATTTGTCTGTTATTTCAAGTTTTTGCAGTTATATGAGTTTCGTTTTTTTTCTAATTTCGAGCATTGTTACATAAAATAGAAAATAGGTGTACAGACAAATCAGTAACAATACCATGGCTAACTATATTGATAATAATATATTTTGGTTAAGAAAAATATGATTGTATTAACTTCTTAGTAGTAGTTTCATAGACCAATTTTTTGTCATTACTGTTATGTGGAGTTTATGAATCATCATCTTAGGTGTTAAATACCTTCAAATTAAACTTGATATTAAGTTTTTCTTCAACATGTAATTTTTCTTCTTACAAATCTTTTCTTTTTTTCATAGCAACGTTTCATCCCATTTTGTTTGTAGTGCCATCTTTTGTAGCGTTTATAAAATAATAAGTCTGGAGTGCAAAAATAAAAAAGTACGAAATAAAATCAACGAAGTGTGTAACAAAAACAACAACTTACGTTACAGGTATGTTTGATATTATAGTGTGTGTATATGTACACATATTGCCATGTCACATTTAATGTAAGGATGACGATACGTGTTTTGAATAGTTTACTGTAGGTGTACAGTAGCCTTGATATACGATTCCCAGTCTTTTTTTCTTTCAGGTACTATAACTCTAAACAAAGCAGTGTAATGCAAATTAATTTACCATAGAGTAGGCTGATTTTGTATACTTTATGGAAATCTTAAATATCGTGTTCCTCATTTTATATATATATATTATAATCCTCTTTTGGTATTGTAGACATTTTTGGTACGTTCCTTATACTCAAAACGTTTTAAGCTAAAACTGCTTAGAAGGAACAATAAGTTTGGTTAAATGAAAATAAAAGATATATTGTTAAGTTGTCCTGCAATATTTTATTTTCAAATCTGTGTTTACAACATGCAAAAACTTATCATATTGTGAACCAAATATCACAAGTTAAGTAAAGATAATATGTTAAATACAAACTTTAGTTCGAAACTACCATTAATAAAAATCCAAACGTGTTAAATTAGGAAATGAATTTTGCAATCTAGCTTTAAGAAAACTAATAGCATATACAACGAATGTTTTATTTTATTTCTGCTTCACTTATAATACAAAGGCAATTTTTAAGTAAACACACGACTGAGGTGTTAATATAGTATCAAATAGGAAGCTACATATAAATGTAATAAAACACAGAAAAACCAAGCAATCAGTTAAAATTAATACTGAATCATGTGATCTGCCTGTCAGTAAATATATATGCTTTTTAACACTCACAGATGTGAGGAGTATTTGGAAGGGGTAGAGGAAGAGGAAGATTTTATCAAAGTTCATAAAGAATCGATTTGTAAGTTAAATCTAAGTGTATTATTAAATTATTCACTAAAAACAATAAAAATTAACAATAAAAATCATGTTTTTCCTTAATAAATACTCAACGTGACGAAATGAACAACTGAAAATATTACTTCTTAATTGTATAACTTTTATAAAAGCTCACTCTCATTGTAATAAAACGTATCCAAATATTTACGGCTCCTTTAAACCTAGAAGTTCAACACGATATCTCTGAAATTTCAGAATGCACAGATTTAATTTTTTATGTTTTATATTTCAAGAAATAGCATCTACAATTTCAATTTCCGTTAAACACCGATCATGACTTGAAATCCTGTTGAGGACCACTGTAAGATGCTAAAGTATGTGTACTAATCTAATTTTCTGTAAAGTAAATCCAATGATTTTACGTCGTAAATAGTGTTTAAAAGTATAATGTCATTAGCACGCGTGACTAAAAACTGTTTAGATATATACATATATAGAAAACTAACTGACTAAGTGGCGGTAACGCAATGGAAACTAGTTTGGGTCAAGGAATGCTTTCATACTATATTCTTAACATATGCTTATATTTCTAAGTATTGATAATGACAGGATAACGTAATTAACTTAGAATTAATCAAGAAGGAAATTCTGTAATATCGAGTAACATTTTGTTTTCAGAATTGTTGTTTTGGACGTCTGGTATAAAACTAGAAAAAAAAAAACACCAACAAAACATTGATCTTTAATAAACTTTTTTATATCGTTTCTGCGATTAACTGTATGTTGATATTCAATTGATATTCACGCCATATATTTAACTAAACACCCATATAAATAAACCAAGGAGTAACATGAAACATAAAGCTTCCATTAGGGAGCGAAAAAATGTAAGTCAATAGTATTTTTTAAATAAATGATACTAATGCGTAAGAAGAAATTGACAAAACTACAAACTGAGCTACAAATATAAAATCGCTAATAATTAGTTCATTTCAATGATTTTAGTTGTAACCTTAATGTAATGAGTTGGAGTAGAGAATTCATCTGAACGATGGGGTCATTTAAAAGCATTGTAAATTAAATCTGCTCTTGGTGTTTATAAGCTATCTTATATAAAAAAGCACACATGTATAAATAAATATATATATAAATCATTATGTAAAATATAAATGGAGAATGTAAAGTCGCAGCTCTGTTTCCAATTTTAAGATCTCATTATTTCAGCTAGAGCTTTAATTTCAAATTCATGAAGATCGTGTAAACTATAATAAGATCTTGAGCCACTAGTTTTGTGGATAAGAGAAATAAGATGACTTAGTCGAAGCTGTATGTTGTATACATTTTTGCTAAAATTGGCCAACTGCTTTTTTCATTATTAAATGGATAACATCTTAGTCTTAAACGCAGAAACGTTAACTTTATTTACTTTCTCAACACTCTTATATCTTCTGAAATACTACTATGTAAAACAAAGATGAATGCAAATTGTGCCTATAATTTGGAGCTAAATTTTTGGTAATAATTTAGGAATAAAACGAAGGATTGTAATGAACAACTAGAAATGAAACAAATAAATAACCACAGGACGGAAAACTGATGGTAAACTGTATTAACACACACAAAAAGAAAGGATCGGTTTGTTTGTTTTAGACCAAATATTTTCAATGGGCTATCAGTGCTCTGTCCACCGGTATGGCTGCGGACTTACAACGCTAGAAACCGTGTTTCGATACCCGTGGTGGACAGAGCACAGATAGCCCATTGTGTAACTTTGTGCTTAATTACAACAAACAAACAAATAATCAACTTGATAAAGTGTAGAGCAAGTAAAATTTTCATTCTGACGCTTTCAGACATTTGTACCTAAAAAATCAAATTTTTATGTGGTTTTCATCTATTAAAAAGTAGCATTAACTTACAAAGAATATTGTTTAATTCATCAATAATGGCACAACTAACACTTTGTGAAACACAGTCAATCGAGCAATAACAATGTAAAACACTACAGTCAACACAAACCTAGAACGTGCAAGGACAATTGAATAAATCTGTGACATTTTTATAGAGCTTACTCTAACAGAAAATAAGGTTAAAAGAAATACAAGAATAGTTAAAAATGTAACACTCACGCATTTATTTTGTTAGAAAAACAAACATTTTCTTTATAAGTCGATAAATTAGGTTATCTTAAACATCTTAGAACACTGTGAATAAGCAATGACTTAAAGTACTAATGAAACATTTTCACCCTGAAATGTTTAAAACGAAAGTATAAATCGTAATATTTTTAGATTGTACATAAAAGTAGCAAACAGAATGCTCTTAGGTACAATCCCCAGGACTTTTCATATTACAACACAGTTCAAGAGAAAGGGATCTTAAATAGGTTTTAGCACACACACACACACACACATTGATACCGAGGAGTCTTTGTTCCTAGAAAATCCAGGTCCACAGACAGTCACGTTAATATTTATTACGTTTATCCTGAAACAAATACAAAAATTGTTGTAAAGTATTACACCAGTCTATAATTAAAAGTACGAACTAGACCAACAGTTAAATCTTGTTTACACATTTTAAGTTAAAATTATGATGAATGCTTCTCTGTTAGAGTCATTATTTTAGTCGTGTATATCAATTTTCAATTGTGATGTATAACAGGATGATAAACTGACTGAATGACGAAAACTATAAATATTGGTCCAGCTATATGTACATTTTAGATTTCGACAGGTCGATTTTCTTTCATCAGGACTAAACCCGGATCCACCTGTGGAAATTGTTAGGGTTTTATCGATGTTTAATGGGTTTTATGAGCTTATGTTACCCTAGGCTGGTTTTTGCAAAACATGGTCAATTCCTAATATTCGGTATGATAACAGTAGGCGAAATATTGACTTTAGGCTCGATTGACTGGCTTGCCATCCCTCTAGTTTAGCAATGCAAAATTAGATATGACTACGAGCAGATATACCTTTTTTGTAGGTTTGCGTGAAATTCTAAAACAAACAAGCAGCCGTAGGATCTAGGATCTTACTTACAAGGGTTTTTAGAGATGCCTCAGAATCCCAACGTTGTAATTCTTCGCGTAGCAGTTTCTCTATCTGCACCCGCTTGAACTTGTCGTCCAGTTCTTCACTCTAAGTGTCAAACAAGAAAAATAAAATAGTTAGTAAATAATTCAATCTATTCTTTCAGGTTTATTTACTCTTTAATTACAATCAAATTATCTCCGAATTAATCACATCACATTTTGTTCAGTTTAACTCATTGATAATTCTTAGGAGAATTAGGGTCTAAACTGATAGTAAGTTCCATTTTACAGCATACAATTAAAATAATTTGATTAATTCCAAGTTACTTTACTTTACAGTGTTGTGTACCCCGGTATATCAGTGGTAATTTAACAGACTTAAAGCGATAAAACCATGGCGCAGATATCTCGTCGTGTAACTTTGCATTAACAGTTTTACTGTGTTCATGAGGTATCATCTACGTCTGAGCTGATGCAGAATTTAGCTTTTTTTTTCGCCCAAATGCTTTGAATCTCATACATACTGCGAACCGTGGTGTCTGTCCAAGCGTTCAACTGTCTCCCGTTTGAAAAGCTGTGCACGCAGGCATAGCTCAACATTCACGTTTGAAATGACAGTAGAACAGGCATCAATAATGTTGACGCCAAATTTTATTTCACAAGCAGTATATTCTACACTAAATTGTTAGGAATTAATTACACTATCATTCACATTTCAAAATATGACGTAACTTAAAGAATTAAAATGTAGATTTACTGTACGTTATTGTTAAACGGCTCTTGGCACGACTGAAATGCTCAACAATTTCTTTTTAATTTAAATTTAAATTGATAGATTAACTTAAGCTTTTCGTCACTGGGGACGGGTACTTTTGCTTGTATGTGTTGTATGTATATAATACTTTCTCGCTGTTCTTGTAGTCTACTTATTACAAATCATTCTGTTTTATATCTTTTTTTTTAAAATCTCTATTGCCGTTTTCCTACGCGAATGTATCAGCCTTGATGGAATTTCACAAATAAAACAAATAATAATAAATAATAATTATAAACTTATAATCAACGCTGTTTTTTTAGGAAGCGTGCGCTGTTTCTTTTTAATCTCTGAAATAAAGATAAATCAGCAAAATATTTAGGATTATAATTATTTCATGTAATATTCGACATGAGTGAAATATATCAACAGTTAATAAAACTCCACCTCGTTAATAGTAGCCAAAATTTTTTTCATGTTGTTCCTCCTCTTTGCCTTGGCGTTTTCCATGGCGTCCATTTTTTTAATCATTGTTTCAATTTTGGCAACAATATTTCCAACAGAACGTTCCATTTTATCCACCCGTCCAGCAAGTCTAGGGCATAAATATAAACGTGATATTTATACAATGGACATACTGAATTTAACTGTTTTATTAAGAACTGAAAATTACTCCGTAAATTGCAGTATTAATTGAGAAAAGGTGGTTACTAAGTAACGTGATATACACGTAGTTATAATTATTTCCACTCACAAGGAATCGGTATCTCTCTAACAAAATATTGTCAGTTGTCGCCTAAATGTATTTATTAGTCACTGTGAAAACATACATTGTTCAGTTACAATACACTCTAATATTCTATACTCATTACAATTAATATAATGTATTAATTTGCTCTCAGACAATTTTAAAAATTTGATCTCAGACAATTTTAAAGATCGCAAACTAGGATAGTTGTCTGACAGTAAACCAGTACAGTTGTATGAAGTAAACCAGGATAGTTGTCTGACAATATACTGGTACAGCTGTCTGAAGCAAACCGGAATAGTTGTCTGACAGTAAACCAGAACAGTTGTCTGAAGCAAACCAGGATAGTTGTATAACAGTAAACCAGTACAATTGTCTGAGAGCAGTAAGACAACTGTACTGGCTTACTGTCAGATAACTATTCTGGTTTGCTTCAGACAACTGTACTAGTTTACTGTCAGACAACTATTCTGGTTTGCGTCAACAACAATATCTGCGCTTTCCAACATACCAAAACTTTCGCTGAAGAATCATGTAAAATTTCGAACAAATTTTACACACCAAATATCTTAATGAAAAATACAAACTATGTGTTGAAAAATACAAACTATGTGTTTACACAAAGCTAGGTATTGTACATTCGAAATAACCCGTTTGTCGAAAGCGCACCAGAAGCCTGAGCTCCTGATGAAGACAGGCCCACCATTTCTTTATCCTAATATTTTTTATCAATTACACAAAGTTGGGTATTACACAGTTGAGTCAATTACATCAAACTGCTAATGTTTTAGTAACCTACCCATTAAGCATCGTTATGGATACCTCTCCGCCCCGGGCATCAGATGGATAGTTACCCTCTTCCTGCTCTCTCTGAATTAGTGTATCGAGACGAGTTTTCTCACCTTCCAAATCAGCCAGCATTTCTTTTGTTTCATTGGCATCTAATTCCCGGTTTCCTTTTCGGTCATACTTAGCAAACAGCATCTCAATCTCCATATCCGTGAAATTTTGCCTGTCAAGGTAAAGAGCTCACACAGTCAAATATTTAGCCCAGTAAGAAGACCCTATACTTAAGTCATAAAATATTACACACACACACACAAGATATATATATGCATATCTTGTTAAACATTTAAACGAAGAATCTCCATATTTTAACAAAAAGTAGTTCAGTTTATGACGTCAGGAAACATTTTCAGTACCTTCAATAAATTGGTTCAGTTTATTCCTCTTTCTAAACTATATGTATAATTAAATATTTAAATCAATGTTTACTCGCCGCCTCATGGATCTCAAGTTTTAATTAATTGTAAAAATGCATTCAGTTATAGAAACAATTTTTCTAAAATACCTTTCCAATGAGTTATTTAAAATGAATAATTTTTCGCATCAAAGCAAAAATTGCCACCCTGTTAAACTCAATATTCTACGATTCATTATCATTGTTCACATTAGTAGTTGAATGGATACACTAATAGTGTTAAATTTACTTATTTCATACAGGTACGAGCCATAACTAAAACTAAATAAAAAATTCATGAAAACAGGAAACAGTAATTTCAAATCCATTAACACTTTAAATATATATGTACACATATTAGTGCTCATGAAATGATGAAAACCCGCTATTAAGATGTGTACTTTCATCTGTGAAAAAGGAAAGCAAAACAGTCTCACTGTTTTAGGGCACGTTGAATTTCGTCGAACGAAAGCTTCATATTACTGTCTTGGTCAGCAAGTTTAAGAGCACTCTGTATATCAATGATTTTGTCACGCTTCCCTACTCTGCCCATGAGATTGTTGTATTCCTATAAATAAGGACAAATTGAAACAGTTAGTTTCATCCATTGGTATAAGTTTACATCAAAATGAATGTATTTTAGTTTTTTATCTACATATTTATTTGTTTGTTTGTAGTTACACAATAGACTATCTGTGCTGTGCCCACCAAGGGTATCGAAACCCAATTTTTAGCGTCATAAGCCTACATACCTATCAATGAGCCATAGGGGGCTTGAGCTAAATAACCTAATATATATATATATATCCACATTAGAGGATTTGGGGGATGGTGTGAAGAAGGCTTGATTCTTCATTGGAAATGGCTTGAGTATACAATACATCGAATTTCGTAATACCTATTAATGTATTCACATTAGAAGCACCGAATATGTACTCTACTTATTATCTAATCCAATAATTTAACATATCATCTTGACCAATTCTTATTATTTCATTTTAAATGTAAAACGAGTCATGAGACAATAATTTAGTTAAGACAAGTATTTTTATAATTGTACCATGTTAAGTAAGCTGGTGTTTTTTTAACGTTTCCGGCAAGTCACATTTGAGAAGAAACTTGCAAAATTTTCTCTGCAACGTAAAGTCAAAATAGAAGGTTGGTGTGTTGAATTAAGTGCAACAAAAGAAAACACTGATAAAAATAACCATCGAAACATTAACTAGGAGACGAACCGTTCCTCTTATCTTTAGTTGCATGAAACTAAAATTAACAGTTATTTTTTAGAGGTACTTTTAAACGCATGCTAAATTACATACACATTATTACCAATAAAATCTAAGAACAAAATCTCAAGATGAAAATTCAGTTATTTTGTATCGGTATTAAACATTGATTTTTCTAATTAATTCGTATAATAAGTTTATCGAAATATCCCAATATTAATCGTGCTTTTAGAAGAAGGAAATCTGATAAAATTTATCTTAAAAAATCAGAATCAAGATACTTGCTCAACAAAACCTCATAGTGGAACGCTGTTTACCGTAAAACTTTAACGAAAATTTGCGACCAAGATTTACAATTATTAAAAACCTTTGATCAAAGCTACCTTCATCAATTTGAACTGAAACTTAACCCAGTAAATAGTGTAGCAGACTTAATATACTAGTCTAACAACGAGTGTAGAATGTTATAAAACAAACACTTATAATAACTTAAATGCATTGATTCATCAGTTGGCTACTCTTATTATTATATTTAATGGTTACTAATAAAATAGTTATATAATGTTCTTGATGGAAAGTTATTAAGAAAATTGAGTTGTACAAAAATGATAAAAATATCATTAATACTGAAAACACTGTTACAAAATACTTCATTGGTAAGCTTTAATAAAAAAAATTATCAATATACGATAAATAAAATACACACAAGGCAAGACTCAGTTTCTCATTTTCATTGCGAGTTATTGGTAACTAAACATTTCAGACAACTATGTTACATATTTCGGTTGATAGCTTTATATTAGGTGTATTCACTAAAAATAACACACACACACACACATATATATTAATCTTTAGCTTTTAATTTTGATAAACTTTTAGCCACAAAATTAGACAATTATATTTCTATTATTTTGAATTAAAACAAACCTTAACTATTCTAACAACTGCACAGAAATTAATCAAAACCCTATAACCCGAGCGCTTTCGAAAGGTGGACCTTTAAATACGCTCGGGTTATAGGGTTTTTATTCATTTCTATCAAGACTTCTTGAACTAACGTGTTTTTCTAAGATCATAAACTAACAACTGCACAATTATGCATTAGTATTTTAATACGTGAATATCTTTGTAACATATTTTTCTATGACCTCCTTTTGGTTATCATATATTCCACTTAAAGCGTTTGCCATTTTTGTTCTAAAATTTAGAAAAATATTTTATCTATTTCTAAGAGCTTTTTTTTTGTAGCAAAACTAATAAGTTGTTACTTTTTAAAACTATTTTGGGTTTTGTATATTTCAGCTTTTTAGAAAATTGGTGTTAAAAGAGCAACAGTTTTTAACTAAAAATAAAGTTGTACGAACGTAGATGTTTTTAATGATTAAACATCTTATCATAAGAACGACCATAGATGATTGAAACACATGAGCTTTGAAAAACCAAACCTCTGACCACCTTATTAATATTCATAAATCTTTTTCCGTTATCAATAACTTCTGATTAAAGCAAGCCACTTACAAAAACGAGACTGAACTAAAAATGAACCAAGTGAATAATGTAGCTAATTTTGATTGTCTGTCTAATTATGAATATATAATATCAAAAAAGTAAAAAATAATAATTATAATGAATTAAAAGGCAATGCTTATTAGCTGTATTCGACATTTTCGGCCATAATCCTACTAATGTCTCGCGAGATTCGGTCAGTTTAGGAGATTTAGTTTAGTCCTGAACCCCTGTAACCTGAGCTAACAACGCAAAGTTTTTCATAATTAAATATATATAACAAACAAATGAAAAATAACAAAAATAATTATATTACATATATTAAACATTTAAACAATGCTTCAATGAAACTGTCATTAACTTAAGAAAATATGGAATTTAACTTAATTTAGGATAAGAAGAAGCAGTGAGAAAAATCATGTGTAATTCTATAACTTATCTGGACACGGTAAATGTGGCTTAGTATTATATATATGTATGTATGTGCTGATATTGAGAATCTTACATTATATTGTTGACATATTTCTTCTAAGTTGCATAAAAAACCCAAGTAAGGCTTAACAGATATTTAAGATGTATTTATTTTTTAAATACTTTTATACTTAACACGAAGAATATTACATGAGCTGTTACAAAGATAAAAAACCTGAATATTTGTTATCTTATTTTAATACTCAGCAGTGTTAATGAGGTAGTTTCTAGATAAACATGCAAACTATTATACTCGTTCATTCCGAAAGAGAGCTTTAGGTCATTCAGTTTCCTAGTTAAGTTTAGTACTCTGTTTTTCTCATCTCTCCGTGGTAAAACGGAAACATTATGGACCTCTAAAGCCTTATAAAACACCACTGAGAGACAACCTCTGTCATCGACTTACCTAAGATAATGAGAGCTGACGTTGCTCGAAACTGCATTTCTCATCTATTGATGGTTAGATTAGGGTAAAGTAGGTATAGGTTTTACTATCTAATGTGAGTTTAAATGTCTTAATTTTTAATAACATTATCATGTAAATAGCAAGTGAAGAGTATGTTAAAAAGAAAGTTTCTGGCGTGTTTTAAATTATTGAATTTAGGCTAAGTCTTTATGGTTTATAGTAGATTTCTTTTACATACTTGTTTAGCTCATTTTATATATAAATTGACAAATACTTACTCGTTTCAAGAAGTCAGCAATTTCAAATTCGTTTTTTTGGCTTGAAATCTCGGCTTTGACTTCGGCATAAGTTTCGTTGATTATTGCCAAGAACATATTCTACAGGAAAATATGATTAAAATAAGACGTTTTGGGCACAATACCTGATATCAAAACTGATGAACTAATTGCGTAAATGGAAAAAAAAATATATGAGGGAATTTACAATTTCAATAAAAGGACAATAAACATCTACTTACCAATAAGACAAAGAACACAAAAAATACATAAGTGATGAAGAAGGTTGGACCAATTATTCTGTTGGCTGTCTCAATCACGTGGAAGTCGAAGTCTCCAAGAATGATACGTAGTAAAGTAAAGCTAACGAAGAAAGTATTAAATTATGAACAAGATATAAGAATATTTAAAGCTAAAGAAGAAGGTATTAATTTATATGTATATGTTCAAGTGTCCAAGGTCTTCAAGAATCATGTGCAGTAATAAAAACATAACGAACAAAACATTAGATTAACATAGAAAACATTAACTCTTGGGCATATATTTATATATATGTCTCCCTCTTGAGCTGCCACGGCTGATAAAAAAATGTACCACCATGAAGAAAGGGTATTTCCATTCAAACTTTTCAAGGTTTACTCATTTCAAGTTTCAGATAAGGGATGAAATATTAAATCATGTAACTGTTTTATTGTCTATCTAAAAATAAACCTGGTGCTCTGGTTATCTATAAACTTTACAATGAAAGGATTAAGGTAAATTTAATTAAGATATTAAATTGAACACGAAATAGTACTTTAAGTATCTTGTTCAACAGATCAAAAAATATAACTTTTCAAAAACTAAATTTACGACTATGCATAAATGGGATATTTGTCGTAAAAACACTCACATGGCTACGATTATGCATAAATGGATATTTGTCGTAAAAAAACTCACATGGCTACGACTATGCATAAATGGGATATTTGTCTTAAAAAACTCACATGGTTATGACTATGCATAAATGGGATATTTGTCGTAAAAAAACTCACATGGCTACGACTATGCATAAATGTCATTTTTGTCTTTAAAAAAAAACTCACATGGCTTTGATGAACTTATTGAAATCTTGAATTTGCGTCCCAAACAGTAAGAAACCCAACTGAGCATAGGCGAGGAATACAATACAGAACATGATTCCGAAACCAGCAATGTCTTTAGAACACTAGAAATAAAAAGGTGAAAACATGTGCTTTTAAATCTTCAGAAAGTACTTACATGATTAACATAACTTAATAATAAAACTTAACTCTGGTTTTCATTTAAGTAACGGGCTTGGCATGGCTTGGTGATTAGTGCGTTTGACTCGCAACCTGTGGGTTGTGGGTTCGAATTCCGTCCTCCGAACATGCTTGCCCTATTAGTCGCGGGGACGTTATAATGTGACTATTCGTTGGTAAACAGTAGCACAAGAGTTGGCGGTGGGTGGTGTTGACTAGCTTCACTCCTTCTAGTCAACTGTTCCAAAATAACGTACGGTAGATAACCCTCTAGTAGCTTTGGACGAAATTCAATAAACAAACAAATAATTTATATACTTGAGAGATGCGGTAAGATCAAGCAGTATCGTACATTGGGATTTCTATTGAAAAAACCATGCGGAAATGTACTACAAATTAATAGGTAGAAATACAAAAAATGTTATTAATATGTATATATTGTATATGATTTGTTTGAATAGTTAATTATAAAATTTCAAATATTATTTTGGAAACTTCCAATAATTTTGCAAAGATGACAAAAATGTAGAATTGATAAAGCTGTTTATCTTATCTATTCCATTATCCGATCGTCGATATCACAAATTTTTTTGTTGTTTGCTTTAATTATACATCTCTCGGTGAGAGAGTTTTAGAAGTAGATTTAGCGCCATAAAAAAAAATTTAAAAATAATTCCTCGGTGAGAGAGTTTTAGAAGTAGATTTAGCGCCATAAAAAAAATTAAAAATAATTCTTCGGTGAGAGAGTTTTAGAAGTAGATTTAGCGCCATGAAAAATTAATTTTTGAAAAATAATTCCTTAATGAGAGAGTTTTCGAAGTAGATTTAGCACCATAAAGAAAAAACAAAACATAATTTTTGAAAAATAATTCCTTAGTGAGAGAGTTTTAGAAGTAGATTTAGCGCCATAAAGAAAGAACAAAAATTAAATTTGGAAAACGTTTCTCCCATGCATATTTTCAATATATATAGTAAATACTTAGTTTGAGCTACAGAAAGCTAAGGTTTCAAAACAAAACTTGGACTTACTCGTGACAGAGTTGAAGAAAGTTGAGTCATGGTCTTGTTAAAACTAATGTACTTGAAGATCTTAATCCAAGCAAAGAAAACGGTTACGGCAGCAGCACTGTTAAATTGGGTTTGCCAAAACCCAAGAAACTCGAAATCGGCAAACACATCTGGGTTCTCAAGCAGTCTTTCCATCATACCCTCAACTGTTAGAGCTCTGAAGGCACTGAAAGCTATACACACCAGAGAAATCTAATAGTGCAGGGATGGGGAAAAAGGACAGAAAGTGGTGTTATTGCTCTTTATTACGTCAAAAACGTACAACTAAAAAAATAACTTCTGTAGAAGCAAATAGGATTACACCTGTTACACATTATAAATATTCGAATTCATTGGGAATGCCAAACTGATCTAAGTTCGTTATTCAGTTATACGGTAATTCTCCATCCTTATTACGAACTTTTATTTTATCAGTGTTTTGACATTACTGCAAGCAAGGCTATGTTTTTATAGCCAGATATTTGTGTGACAAATAGTTTCTTATGTGTCTCTGACTTCTCTTCCCCCACTCCTTTTTAAAAAAATGCATGTAAGTGTTTTACGCATGTCTCTAAAAGTTTTAATCACTTAGCAATATTTTCCGCAGTAAGTTTACTTTTCGCAACTTGTGTATTAAAATTAGCTCACAAAATCACAATTAATCAATTGAGACATCATCTTTCACACATAAAGATGTCGCTTAATCTGTAAGAGTCAAACGTTTTAAAGACATGTTAGCAAAATCCATGTTCAAAAATCATGAACTGAAATATATGTTTAATCAAGTTTAAATAATGCTCAGATGATGTGAACAAACTCTCAATGCCACACTATTGCTCACTATTTCAAAAATGATTTACAAATTAAAAAAACAAGACACGTTTAGATGTGCTGTTAACAACAAAAATTATTACTCAGAACTTACCGAGATTACAAGAATATCCAGTAAATTCCAGATTGACCTGAAGTACTTGCAACTGTTATGTTTAATCTGAAGTACAAAAGGAAAAATGTAATATTTTATAGATACATAGCTTTTTATTCTGTATCTTTCATCGTACAAAAATCGTTATTCAACGATAAATCAATCTCTAATGCCTATTTATTTGCCGAAACTTCAACAGAATCTTTCCTCTAATCTGAAATGTTTAGGGCCAAGAATTTTTTTCCAAATAAAAATTATTTTGAGATGTCAGTTTTATTTTATTTATAAAATATGATATAGAAATATTAATATACACTACGAATTCCCAAACTTATTGTATATGTATCGGCAATAAACCCTTTTTGTGAGTGATAAAAGAACGTAAGAAACATTTTTTTATGAACAAGTGAAAAATAACAGTAAAAACTTTATATAGTTTATTACTTGTTCTACTACGAAAAAATTCTAAACAAATTTAAATTCGTGATGCTGCTTGTTCCAATTGCAATAAAAATGGAGGCGAGTATTTCAATTTTTTTCTTTTTTAACTTACCCACTTTTATATTAAATACTTATAATGATGGCCATTTTATATAACTTGGCTCTATTTTTGATATAACGTCGTCATTATATGACTCATCCATTTATTTAGAAATTCAGCCTGACTTACAACTTAATTTTATTATTCACTCTGACGGTTCTTTTGACCCAGTTTTGGGCAATACTATATGTGCTTTCTATATTACTTCTCTCAGTATTCATAAAGCCTTTCGACTGTAAGTCATTAAGGCATCTTTACAGCTGATTATATTGTCACTATATTGATACTTCAATGAGCTACTCCAGAGGCTCTTCATTACTCACCTTTAGTTATTTACTCTGATTCACTTAAGAGAATACATCTTTACAGCTGATTATATTGTCACTATATTGATACTTCAATGAGCTACTCCAGAGGCTCTTCATTACTCATCTTTTATTATTTACTCTGATTCAGTTAAGAGAATACAAGTTTTTTTTTGTCCTCTTCACCAATACATCCCCTCTATTTTGAGATAGTCTATATTTGTTAGCACAATTAACCCTTCTGTGGTTGCACTATCAGTCTTATTTGGGTTTCTGGCCACAGTGGAAATAGTAATAACTAATGTATTGATAATCCTGTTTGGGTTTTTGGCCACATTGAAATTGTTAATAATTAATGTGGTGATAATTTCTTTGAGTTTCTGGCCACATTGGAATTGGTGATAACTAATGTGTTTATAATTGTGTTTGAGATGCTTGTATAAAACCTGAAGTAGGTGTATGTCTCACTTTTATAGTACAGATTATTTCTGACGGACACTTTAAATGTATTTGTTTCTCACATGGAAACAAAGTTCTTCTTCTTCTACTATGGGTCACTTTACATATTGGCTTTTCTTTCCCAGTTCCATAATACTTCTGTCTGATTTATCATAAGAAACTTGAATATTGTCCCCCCCCTCGCCTCTTTTCCTAGTAATTTACATTCCAAGTAACTTAAAATCGGGGTTGTAAAAATTCTTCTGCTGGAAAGGATGTTGAAGGGAGCTAAAAACTGTTGCCCATGTTCTTTATGAATGTCCTATCTATGCTATTTAATACGATTTTCTATAAAAAGTTATTAATGAACTGAAACTAATTACGCTCAAACCCACTGCCAGTAATATGCCGAAGAAACGGAAGACCCGAGAATATGCTAATGCAAATAATACTCGGAGATCCAAACTTAATCACTTCTCGGTACATCTGACTCTGAAATGTACTAAAAAACAAACCCACAAGCACTTAGGACTTTAATAATATTAAAGTTCAATGCTGCAGACCAGCAAATCTGTTGTTTTTAGGAGGGCTCTATGCTTCTGGTTTTCACAAACTAATTTAATCTTGTTAGCTATCATTGAGCCTTAATCAATGAAAATAAAGTAAGACAATAATGGAAAAATTTTCGAAGAAGCGTTGAATCTTGTTAGCTATCATTTGGTTTGAATAGCAGAATCTGGAGTTGATGTTAATTTTGAGAACACGTTACGTACAACCGTATCATCCCAGCTGTTAAAAGTGGAAAAAGTAACGTGGCGTGAGTTTATTTTGACTGTTTTGATCCTGTTTAACTGGTAAAAGTTTTAGGAAGACATAATGTCTTGTTATAATGTAATATTTAAAACATTGCTCTACTGCTTGTATTTACGGAATTATATGGAGAAGGACCATACTTCTTTCAATATGTTTATCTACCATGACGTATTACAGATCACATCGAACGGTGTTTTGAGAGCGCGGATCTGATTTCAATCGAGAAGCTATTTGATGTTTTAACAAACCAACTGAATAACATAAATACAGAAAACAAAATGGCATTGTTCTTGGAACTATTGTCTCCACCAAGCGGTTAGTGACAAGTCAGAGTCAAAGTAACAGTCCTGAGACTGATTAACATCAAAGGTGGGTCCACTGTTATTATAACAGAACTCCAGCGACATCCTCGTTATCAATACTTTGGTATATAGTGTGCACGAGGTCGTGAAAATAAGTCAATTTTTGTCACTAATCGATGTCTCGTAGAAGCTTTTAAACTTATTATGAACCTTTTTCTTCAAGAGACTTATTTTTAGCCGCGGCATAGCGGCTCATAAAATGTCTCTGAGGTTTTTTTCAAGAACAAACTTTTAGCTCATTGCTCCATATCTTGACCGATTTGAGATCAAATTACAGCCGTAGCTATTGATAATTCCCTCTTGTTTGCTTCATAAAATGTAACATATCGTATTCTCTGCCAGTCTCTTAAAATTGCTTCTAAACCATGAAAAACTTTCTTAAATTTGTTTTCAACATAAATGAACACCACAATATAAATTGGTACATTCATTTCAGCGATTATATACCAAATGTCATGCACAAATGAGTTCATCATAGTAAACTGACTCAGTTCATTTATATTACTAGTTTATTTTTATTTAATTTTCCCTGACTTCTGATAATTTACTTAACGTTAACTTCTGTTTGCTATGCATTTTAATTTTGTTATGTTAACAGTTATTTGGTTATTTTACTTATAAATCTATAAAGCTCAAATTGGTTAACTGTTAGGGTCTTTTATTACTGCCATCTAGTAGAACTTCTAAAAATGATTTAATTAAATCATCAAATTTACATACCCTCATTAACACAGGTTAAACTTGTCTCACTAGTTTTAGTGGTCGTTTATAGAATTTTGCTGAATAATATTTAAATGTTTCGTTTCCATCAAACAAAATAACATTTATAGCTATGTCCTATTTTTTTATATTTTTACATATGTTCAGAAATACCTCGGTAGATAAGGTGAATGAACGTAAGTGTTCTGAGTGTCAGATGAGAACGGAAATTATTGTTCATATCTGCAGGGTAAGAAACAGCCAGTCTTTAACATAGCACGCACGCACTCTGTCATATTTGTAGGTAACTACGATTAAAAATATCCTCATCGCAAATGTCTCCTCACAGCTGGTTACAAAACAAGTTTGTATATATTGCTACTTATCGCTAATCAAATATGACGATATTGAGCAAGAAAACTTGGCATAAAATCATTAACATAAAGCTCCAACAAGTTAAAATTTGAAACTAGCTATTAGAAGAAAAATTGTCTATGACTTAGGTACTGACCAACTATTGAGAACGTTTCGACAATATGCCAGTCCGGGTTTGAAGAACGTGTGTTTTTAGATTTTGTTTTGTTTTGTATTAAATAAGCAGCTGCTGTACAAAACCCGTAGAAACACAGGTTATATACATTCAAAAGTTGAATGTATTTTAGCGTTAATTATACAAATATATGTAAAAAATCATCGCATATTCTCCATAAAGCAACACTGAAAATTGTACTGTCATATGTGAGTGCTCGAAGTGTCCACACCTATAGCGTCCACAATAGTAGTATTATATAAAATACGAAATAACACGTTTGATTGTCAAATATGATTATTACCTAATGTTTAACTACCATACTAGTAGTTAATAACCAGAATGGGTTTTCCTGTTGAAAAGTATGTTGTGCATTCGGAGAAAAGTTTTTCGCAGTAACTAAAACTCTTATACAAGTAATTGTGAAATAAAACTATATTTGTGAAATCAAAGTTTTTTCTTGCTACAGCCTGGTCAACTTTCAAATTATACTCATGCACTGATGGTTTGTTTTACATGACCTTATTATGTACTAATATTCCAATCCACAAAGTTAAAAAAAAATAGAGAAAGGTGCACTATGAAGCCAGAATGGAACTATAAATTTCCTTTCACGTAAACAGATTGGTAAATATGAACAAGATATCTTTCAAAATTTCTGATAAAAAGCACCAAAATACACGTTTCATCTTGAAATTATTAAAGAAACGAACAAACATCGTAGCCAATAAAGATACACAAACTCTACTATCCCAACTCTCTAAGCCACAGACCTCACTGTCCTGTTTATTCGTTCATATGGGTTAGTTATCCCAAAACAGAGAGAGACCTTACCTCAATAAATTCTTCGACGACGTAGTAAATGATGAAAAAGGAGAAGATACATTCGCAAGCCAAAACAAAGTAATCAAAAGCGCTCACGTATCGCAGTAACTTCACGGTCCGAAAGCTCCAGGAAGGGATCATTCCACCTGTGGCTGGGAACTCAAACACAATCCTACGAGAACCAATTGGAATACAATATTACATCTAAGACCATAAGATGTGGACACATAAAACAAAAATTGGCTACTTCATAGAAACACACTGTTAAACCTAATACAACACACACACAAACTCGCGCTCACTTAATCCTCAAAATTAACAATTAAATACCAAGTTAATATAATTTCTATAAGTTTATGTAATGAAAACTATAATCTAAATGTCATTATCACAATAAGGAAGGAAAATTAAATGTGAAGATTTGTATTATTCTATACTGTGTAGGACTTATTTATACCAAACTTACTTCGTAATATTCTATACTGTGTAGGACTTATTTATACCAAACTTATTTCGTAATATTCTATACTGTGTAGGTTTCATTTGTACCAAACTTACTTTCGTAATATTCTATACTGTGTAGGACTTATTTATACCAAACTTATTTCGTAATATTCTATACTGTGTAGGTTTCATTTGTACCAAACTTACTTTCGTAATATTCTATACTGTGTAGGTTTATTTGTACCAAACTTATTTCGTAATATTCTATACTGTGTAGGTTTCATTTGTACCAAACTTACTTCGTAATATTCTATAATGTGTAGGTTTCATTTGTACCAAACTTAATTCGTACTATTCTATAATGTGTAGGTTTCATTTGTACCAAACTTAATTCGTACTATTCTATAATGTGTAGGTTTCATTTGTACCAAACTTAATTCGTACTATTCTATAAAGTGTAGGTTTCATTTGTACTAAACTTACTTTGTAATATTCAATAGTGTGTAGGTTTTATTTGTACCAAACTTACTTTGCAACACAAAAAAGATTGATGTTAGCATTATAAGTGGTGAAGTCTAGAAATATAGCTCGAGTTGCTCGTGTAATCCATAAGTTTTCTCCAAGTTCCTGCATGACAGCTGCAGCCTGAGACCTGTTAGTTCCTAGGTCAGCATATGATCCTGCTCCGCTGTACGTGGCCAACAAACCCCAGTGACTAGAGCCATTCATCTCCTTCTCTGTGTGATAGGTCCATCTAAAACAAAGACGAATCGCCATTGCAGAGTTCTTGCGAATACCTGAATAGCTTCAAAGGATTTTCGAATAGTGAACTATTCGAAAGCGTTCGAGTTTTGGGTCTCGTTTGAAAACCATTACAACTTTTATATGTGATTCTGTGTGCTAACCTCATTAATCAGAACTTAGCTTCAAAATAGATAACGTTAAAAGCATAAGTACACAAGAAATTTCTGTTGTTTTCCGCAACGGATTTATATTCTCACCTCAGACACATGATTACTTTAAAACTGGAAATTGCCCATGCCACAAAGAAAACTCGTCCTGCAGACGAAAATAATTTCCTAGTTTATTATGTGTATGAAAATTTTATCAAAATAAAATAAAAAACATAATCAGTTTTCTAGTTGTGACTCGTAATACGATATTATATAAAACAACACCAAAACGTTGTATCGCATAAGTGTAACTACACATACATCTAATTTTTACTTAAAATCCTTTTATATCAGTGTGTAACATTATCACACTGTGTTATTATTTATATATTATTATTGAGCTAACTTGTCCTTAAATTTTTGGTTTTAGAAATGTGCATGTAAAAGATATTAACAACGCTTAAAATGTTAACATGAGATTTAGCCATTCTGCATATTGTAAAAAAAACAAAAGACACAGCAATATTTATTTGCCTTTTGTTGTTGGTTTTTCACTCAAAATTTTTAATGTATTTTTTCAAGAAATTACTTTTCCCTAAAATGTTATATCACTCGGTTTAGATAATGGACTTTATTTAATGAATAACTTTGGTAAATATAGGTCAGTTCTACATTGTTATTATTCGTTTAGCTTGTTTATTTGTATGTTTCATTTTTACTTTTTTCTAGTTATGAATTTCATTTTTAACCTTCTTTGTAACTTAGGACAATCATGAATACTATCTCGCTTTGTTATATATTGCTGTAATTCAACCTAAAGTTCTATTTCTAGCAATACTTGCTTGTCTACAAAGTATTATTTTTTTTATTATTGAAATAAAAATACTGAACATGTTACAAGATAAAACAGAAGATGTTATACTCAACAGTAAAAATGTAAGAACAACTGAAATAGTGAATTTTCTGTTTACGTTTTTATACATCTTAATTTACATGTAAATAGATAGTCTTACGCTGTTCCGTTCAGTAAGCCAAAAGGTTCCGTATCCTCGACGTCAGGTGAATAAACGTCATAACACTTCGATATAGTTTCCTTGAAGTTTTCGTGAATATTACAAGAATCGTTCCTTACTCTTAGCTGCCGAAGCCTCGGAGTACCCAGAAGTCGATTTTCGTAGAGAATATTTCGATCCTCGATGTCTGTAGCATTGTTATTGTACCAAGTTTCCCAGTACAGACTGTCCAACATCACATAATCCACAAACTAAAAAATAATAATTTATTCAGATGTAGGACAAACTTCGTATAAAACGTTTACTAATTCTGAAAAAAAATTAGTGTTTGTTTTATTTTTAAAGAAAAAAAAAGGGAATATTCGAATGGAGATGGGTGATCCTGAGACTTGTATTTATTATATGACGTATCTTAATATTAAGAAATTCATTAAGTATTAAGTTGTATGTTGTAATAAACCTTAATGAAAAACTGATGCATTTACTGGCGAAACAATGGTCGTGAATAAATGATGTATTTGTGAAACGTACAATTATCTTGTTTTTCCTGAATTATGTAATAATGGAGTTTCACCAAGTACCGACGGTTTCAAGTATGAATTATAAAAACAAAACAAGCCGTATTTAACTTTCTCATTGTGTTACACACGTTATACGATAATATATAAACATCCAGGTCTATTAATATATACAGCACCGGTTGAAAACTGGATTGAAGGTGTTTCATTAGAGGTTGAAAAGAAAAGCGTGTTTTGGTTTATATGTCATATTTATACATTGTTCATGCATGACTGCTACCAGTTTTTTTTTAGACTATTTAAATAGCACCAGTTGCTACACTACAGTACAGTTCATGATCTATTGTATCGTTATAATAGATTGATGTACATTTCTAGCTCATCTAATGTACACTTTGGAAATAATTGGTTTTGTTTTCCTAATAAAGAATTTAATAAATTAAAATTCGGGTTGCGTTGAAGGAATATAATATTTTCATATAGCTTCAACGGTGTATCATTTCGGCTGTGGGTTAAGCTTCGTGATTAAAACGCTTTTTCTGAGCCAACCACAGCACACGACTTAAATTTTATTGGGAACAAAATATTACACATACAAGTTAGTAGAGCCAAATTTAGTTTGTAGTGAGCTGTGTTAGTGTATTATGTACGCCTCAAAATCAAGATTGGTCAACTTTCAGTTTTAAGGAATCCTGATGAGCCTCTTGAAACAATTATGTTCATCTTGTGCTAAACAAACTCAGTTGAATGATAAACCTAGGATTTCTAATATATTTTGGATTAAGTCATGAAACCATGCTTAAAAATCAAATTACCGACCAGTTTTATACATTTCATTAAACCGCAAGTCCATATACTGGATATATTGAAAGTTGAATTCTATAATGACTGTTGGCATTCTTAAAACTTTGCCCTAATGCTAAAGTTCTATTGGAAGAACTTTAGTTGTATAACTGTAATATGTACATGATTATCATAGTTAGGAAACATTATTACTAATATTTAATATAAACTAAATTTTAAGTTTCTCTATTTCCCAATAGATGCCGCCACAATAAATATATTTTATGATTAAGTCGAGAAGAGGTTTTGAAAATAAACGGAATTATTAATAAATTTGTGTGTTTTAATATTAAAAACGAAGATACGCTTTACAATATTACAAGCTAATTTGAAAATAAACAACATTTTATGTTGTGTTGCTTCAGTTTTCTTTAAAAGACGCTTTGATAAAATGTTCATAAAATTGAGGGACCGACCAGTAATTTAAATGTTAATATTCTGACTTGTTGCTTGTGAAATTAACTATTAAAAATCAAGTTCGTGTAAAACACATCCAGGTTGAGCGTATCACATAATCTAGTTCATGTAAATATAAATAATGCACATGAGGCTATACCAAAATTTGCTGAAATAAAATAGCTTATTAATATGGTTCTGTTACAAAAATCTTTCTCTTCATATGCTATTGCTTTTTTTTTCTTACTTATCTTAATTTGCTTCTTAAAGTCAAATCTGGCCTATTAATGAATCTAAGAGCAAATTTCAGTGTTTTGTCTTGATATTCAGATGACAAAGAACTGAGTTTTATCCTCTGAGTAGAAGTTAAGAGCATCCACATTTCTCTAAAATGTATGAGTAAACTTTCTAATCAAATTACTGTATTAGACTCTCTCTCTATAACTATCTTCCAGTAATCCAAATGTATAAAACGGAAATAAAAAGACTTTATTAGACTTTCTACCTACCCACCAGAAGTTCAAAAGTTTAAAACTACAACAGAGGACTGTACTAGACACTCTACCTATCCACCAGAAGTCCAAAAACCTAAAACTATATAATAGAAGACTGTATTAGACTATCTTTACCTACCCTCCAGAAGTCCAAAAGCTGTGTAGAACCCCTCACGTTGTTTCGAGTGTCAGTGAAAGGTGTGTCTAAGAACAATTCACTGATTACCTTGGTCTGGTAGTACATCACGGGATTCACCATGCCAAATGTCACTATGGAATACCAGGACAGGTTTACAAGTATCAAAATTCACACAGCAATGATATGAAGAAGGCTTTAATTTTTTTAAAAAAAAACTCTTTTTGCAGCCTGAAGTGATTTGTTTAAGCAAAGGTTTATATAATTGCATTAAATAACATGTTTCATATAATTTTAAGTATTCATGGTTATACAAAAACATTTTGTTAATAATTATGAGTTACTTTTTCACTATTTTAAGTTTGAAAAATTTAGAACTGTTCTGGTACATATTTATACGTAAGCACACGAAAGGATATAATAGTTTTGCTTTTGTCTTTCTGATAATGAAACTAATTTTTCTTTCAGTATTTCGTTTTACGTTTCAATAGCATTATCAACATGGAGTTCTCGTATCTTTCCAAGCAAATTAATAACAACTGCTATCGACGCTTAGTCCTTTGTAAATTCACTATCATGTAAAGGCCAGGCGTGGCCTAGTGGTTAGTATGGTTCAAAGGCCCATTGTCCATAAAACGCGCTCCGCACTATGGGGTCGTGGATGAGCTATAAGACGATTGTCAAATCACACTATTCATCCAGACTATTGCCCAAGAGTTCGCGGTGGACGCTGTTGACTTTATAGCTACCTTCCCTTTTAGTCTATGAGCTTAAAATTAGCGACGGCTATACGCAGATAGCCCTTTGTTAGCTTTGATAAAGAATTCCGAAACAAAAAAAAAAACTATCTTCCAATTTAATATGTTCTATATTAGTTTTGTGAAAGAATTAGTTTATACGATTATTGCGTGTAATTATTTGTGTTGTAGTCTAACTTTACTTACTACTCTGTTGCTAAGAGAATCATGTTACCAACACTACTGCTAACAACGCTTAATGACTCGTGAAGAAATAGTTTATAGTCTAAATAGATTACTGCTAACAACGCTTAATGGCTCGTGAAGAAATACTTTATAGTATATATAGATTACTGCTAACAACGCTTAATGACTCGTGAAGAAATAGTTTATAGTCTAAATAGATTACTGCTAACAACGCTTAATGACTCGTGAAGAACTACTTTATAGTATATATAGATTACTGCTAACAACGCTTAATGACTCGTGAAGAAATAGTTTATAGTCTATATACATTACTGCTAACAACGCTTAATGGCTCGTGAAGAAATACTTTACAGTCTATATAGATTACTGCTAACAACGCTTAATGATTCGTGAAGAAATACTTTATAGTATATATAGATTACTGCTAACAACGCTTAATGACTCGTGAAGAAATAGTTTATAGTCTATATAGATTCTTCATAAATACTTTACAATTCTAATGAAACCAAAACTGCACGACGTTCTGCATATGCAGTTGCTTCGTCTCCACCACATTTGATCTGCTAAGTAAAATATTGTTACGTCTCCGTTTGTTAATTAATTTTCCGTAACTTCGTACCGACGAAACTTAAGCGACACAAGCCTTTACTT